ACATCTTCTACCGCTAACTCTACCTCAGAACGGTCCAACTCATCTAACACTGGTCCAGGAGGTACTACCAGAGGAGCTACGCTTGCTGCTCTTCTGCTGAATGCGTCGGCCACCATGTTTGCCTTACTCGGATGGTAATTGATCTCGCAGTCGTAGTCTTTTACCAGTTCTAACCACCTCCGCTGCCTAAGGTTAAGTTCTTTCTGAGTGAAGAAATATTTTAAACTTTGGTGATCGGTGAAGATCTGAATCTTTTCCCCATAAAGATAGTGTCTCCATATCTTCAAGGCGAAAACTACCGCAGCAAGCTCCAAGTCATGGGTGGGATAGTTAAGCTCGTGTACCTTTAACTGACGTGAGGCATAGGCAATGACTTTTCCCTGCTGCATCAGAACGCAACCTAAGCCCCTTCGTGAAGCGTCACTGTACACCACCAAACTTCCTGACCCATCCGGTACTGTTAACACTGGGGCCGTGACCAAACGCTCCTTCAGTTCTTGGAAGCTTTTCTCACATTCGTCGCTCCAATCGAACGTAGCATTCTTGCGGGTTAACTGAGTAATGGTGCCGCCACCCGAGAGAAATCCTGGACGAACCTTCTATAATAGCCGGCTAGGCCGAGAAAACTGCGGATTTCTGTCACTGTGCGAGGCCTTGGCCAACCACTGACCGCCTCCACCTTGGCCGGGTCCACAGCAATACCTTCCCTGGTGACTATGTGGCCAAGGAAAGCCACCTTAACCAGCCAAAACTCACATTTCGAGAATTTCGCGTACAGGCTGTTCTTCCTCAAAGCGGTAAGGACCTGCCGCAGATGTCCTTCGTGTTGCTCTTCCGTTTTGGAGTAAATCAAAATATCGTCGATAAACACGATCACAAACAGATCCAAAAATTCCTTAAAAACTCGATTCATGAGATCCATAAATGCCGTAGGGGCATTAGTGAGTCCGAAAGACATAACGGTAAACTCAAAATGTCTATACCTGGTTCTGAAGGCTGTCCTAGGTATATCGGCGTCTTTAATTCTCAACTGGTGGTACCCCGATCGTAGGTCTATCTTTGAGAACACCCTTGCTCCTTTTAGTTGGTCAAAGAGGTCATCGATGCGAGGAAGGGGCTACCTATTTTTTATTGTTACCTTGTTCAGATCCCGGTAGTCAACACAAAGTCGCATAGATCCATCTTTTTTTTTCACAAACAACACGGGGGCACCCCAAGGAGACACGCTCGGGCGAATGAAGCCATTGTCTAAGAGTTCTTCCAGCTGAGCCTTAAGCTCCTTAAGTTCCGCTGGAGCCATGCGGTACGGTGCCTTCGAAATGGGAGCTGTCCCGAGTGGTAAGTCGATACAAAAATCCAGTTCACGAACAGGGGGCAGCCCCGGAAGGTCATTGGGGAACACATCTGGGAACTCTCTGACCACGTGAACGGAGTCGATACTAGGTAGAGTCTTACTAACGTCGACGACGTTGGCCAAATATCCCCAAGCTCCATTCTGCAACAGGCGTCTTGCCTTCAACGTTGATACTGTCCTTGGGACTCTACCCGTAACCCCTTTAAAAGTAAAGTTCCGACCCGAAGGTAGTTGGAAGGAGACTTCTCTTCTCGAGCAATTAATGTTGGCTTGGTTGGTAGCTAGCCAATCCATGCCCACAATAACGTCAAAATCTTACATGTCCAGCTGGATTAGTCTTGCCCTTAGAGTCTGATTATCAAAAGACAACTCATCTGCCCTCACCTTTTGGCTAGCGATCAAAATCGACCCTGATGGTGTAGAAACCGACAACAAAAACCCTAACGGCTCTAATTCGAGGGTTGCCTGACGAACAAACGTAGAAGAGATGAAAGTGTGGCTTGACCCCGAATCAAACAATACATACGCAGGCACATCATGGACTAAAACAGTACCTAGACCACAATGCAAAGATAAGGACATACGCTCACACACAAAGCCCAAAAGAAATAAGAAGAAATACCTGTGACCACCGTTTCGGCATCCGCCGCTTCCTTGCGAGTAAGTGCGAAGACACGAGCCCTTTGGTTATTTCCCTGCGTCGAAACTGGTGGTGGAATCCTCTGACCCAACCTCTGTGTATTTGCGGCCGACATGGGACATTCCCTTGCAAAATGCCCCTCTCTTCCGCACCTGAAACAACCCTTACTTCCTGTCCAGCACTGCCCCGTATGTCTTTTCTGGCAGGTGGGGCATACTGGCGGCATGCCCTGGTGTTGAGCCTGGCGCTGGGGTGCTCTCAATACCAGGTCGGCATAAGTCGAAGGGAACTTCCTTTTCACACCTGAAGATGATCCGACCTCTGGCAGGGGTGAGGCCTTGTTGGAAACATCCTTATCCATAACCAAGGCGCCCCTAACCGCTTCAGCATAGGTGGTGGGTCGCTGGAGGTCCACCGGGCCTCTGATTCCCTTGCGCAAGCCTTTAACAAACCTCTTGATCTTTAATGCCTCAGTGGGAATCAACTCTAGAGCGAAACGGGAGAGTTCCGTGAACTTCCTTTCATACTGTGCCACCGATAAAGTTCCTTGGACTAGATGCAGGAATTCTGCCTCCTTCATGTCTTTCACAGTCTCCGGATAGTAGTAGTCGTACAACAAGTTCTTGAACCTTGCCCACGGAATTGGTACATTCGCATAATCCTCTGCCGCTGCTACTGAGTCCCACCAGTTCAGGGCCTCGCCCCTTAACATAAAAACCGCGCCCTTCACCTTGAATTGGTCTTCGCAACCAAGATACGCGTAAAGGGCTTCCAACTCTCTAATCCACTCTTCCACTGCAGTCGCTCTTTCACTCTCGCCGTCAAAGGTTGGGGGTCCGTAGCGCTTGAAATCCTTGATGAAGCGAGCCTCGCTCTGGGGTGTATGAAGGTGTTGGGGTGGCGGAGCTTGGACCCCGCCCACCCCTGC